TTGAATCGGCTCGCCTGTTGTGAGCTCACATGCTGCCATTTCCCCTGCAGACCCAGCATGGCCGCCCAAGGAGAGCCCCAAGTGCAGTTTAAGGTAAGGGAGTGGGTTCGTCGTCTTTTTTTTCCTTCGGTAGAAAAGTAGCGCAAAGCGACTCTCGAGTGCCAACGTGGACGGTAGGTTTAATTTTAGAGTGCTTGTCTTTTTTAACACTGCAGTTAGTTTATTGTAGTATTGCATATAACTTTTACAGAAAAGATTCTCTTGCACTGTGTTAATATGAGGATCTTTGTAGCTTAGTGTAATTAATTTTAGTGATGCTTTGCCTGTAGAATGATTTTTATATTTAAGAAGTTCACAGCCAAAAGTGCTTAGAGTGAATTAGAATAGTCTGTTGGCTGTGGTTTCAACTATTTAGTGAAGAGAACTTAAATTCAGGACAGAATTTTCTGGTGTTTTGGGCGGGTTGTGGGTTTTTCTAGTTTTTGTTATCTTAGCAGCTAGAATTCCTTAAGACTGCTTCATTAGAAGTTGTTACTTGTGTTTCTGAGAACTTGGCTGGAGTGTTCCAATTGTTAGTAGTGCTGCGGGTTGGTTGGTTTCATTGTGGGTGATTATTTTTTTTTTTTTTGTAAGATTACTGTGGGTTTCTCTGAGCTGGGTGCTTAGATGAGTTGTTCTTGTTAGCTTTCAGCTACAGGAGGTAGATAAATCCAGAGAGCAGACAGCTACTAGATAACTAGGGAGTTATAGTATGATAGGCTTAACAAATTTGGTCCTAGTACAGTGAATTGCTTTGTGGGGAATTCAGTCCTTTGTTTACAGCTGCTTGTAGGACTAGATCTTCATAGTAAAAATTAGTAATTACACTAAAATAAGTAATAAATGTTTCTAGAAGTGTTTCTCTGACTTGTTTTGTCTTTATCTATGAACAGCTTGTCCTGGTTGGTGATGGTGGCACTGGTAAAACCACATTTGTAAAGCGTCATTTGACTGGTGAATTTGAAAAGAAGTATGTAGGTATGTCTGAAGAAACAGTTGAGATCTCATCTTACAGTTAAAAGTGCAGTTCTTGCCTTGCCAAGTGACCTGCTTTTTCTCACTGCAGCAACGCTGGGTGTTGAAGTTCATCCTCTGGTGTTCCATACCAACAGAGGCCCTATTAAATTTAACGTATGGGATACAGCTGGCCAGGAGAAGTTTGGTGGCCTGCGAGATGGCTATTACATCCAAGGTAAGATGGGTGTGCATGTGGGGGATATTTTGTACATCTTACAGTTCAATCCTTCATTCTGTTCATGTTGACAACTTGGACAGCTGTAGGTGTGACGTGCAGTGGTGAGCTGGTTTCTGGGTGTTGAGACTCTCCAATAGATGCAGTAACTTCCTTTGTGCTGAGCAGGGATGTTATAGACAGTGTTTCAGTATGCTGCTGCAGGCTTTGGTATGGGTGAGGAGTAATAGTGCTCCTCTAAATGACAGCATATTGCAGACGGAACTCAGCAGTTAAGAGATGGCAAGTATGTGCTTCATTTACTACAGATTCTCATGTGTGTTAACATAGTGTGCTGAGGCCAGGACCTGGAACAGAAACTGCAAGATTTTGGACACGGCATAGTTGTAGATCTCCATGTTGGAGTTTAGTAGCCTTTCTAAAGTAGTACTCATAGTGTCCCTTACTTCTGCTTGACCAAGCTGTGTTTTATGTGTGATGCAGTCACCTGCTAAAGTTCTGCAAGGGATTGTTAAAATTTGATGCTGCTTCTTGTTTAAAAGTATTAGGATTGAGTCAAGCCCACGTTTTATTGGTAAAACTTTGGACAAGGGCATCCTGAGATATGGACTCATACAAGCTCTCAGTATATCTGAAAGCCTCAAGAGGATATCTGAAATTAGTTAGATGTTAACTGATTCTGTCAAACACTTGTGTAAATCAGAGGCGACCTTTGTAATCTTTGTATATTCTTGTGCTGTGCCCAACCATGTTAGACAGTGGGCAGTTGCACTGATAAAATTAGCTGATGTTTAAGATTTGGCACTAAAGAAGTGAGATGATGTGGTCACAGGCAGAGTTCTGTAGACTTGTGAATTGAACTTGGTAACAGAATATGGGCTTGTGAAGCACAGGGAAAAGTTAATGCAGACACTTAACCTTAATGTGGGATTTCTGTGGGTTACCTCCTCAGCAGATCACTGGTGATGTGTTTCTTGACTGTTCTCTTCTTGCAGCTCAGTGTGCCATCATAATGTTTGATGTAACATCAAGAGTTACTTACAAGAATGTACCTAATTGGCACAGAGATCTGGTACGAGTATGTGAAAACATCCCTATAGTGTTGTGTGGCAACAAAGTGGATATTAAGGACAGAAAAGTCAAGGCAAAATCTATCGTCTTCCACAGGAAGAAGAATCTGCAGGTATGTTGGCATGGGTTTGTAGGAGTTGGATTTGTTGGGTCTTTTGACTGCAGTTGGGCTCTGTGCAGTAGTTGAGCATCCTGCCTTTGTCGCTACATGCTGTACTGTTTCAGCTTTGCATCCTGCTGGCACCTAAATTTGGGGAAGGGGGAAGTGATGGTGTTAAAGATGATCACTGGTCTTGAGCAGAAGCTCTGATAAATTCTTAAAGAGCTTGTGTGCGTTTGCGTCTCACTGCTCAGGATCTCGTCAGATGAGACAGAACCAAGGACTTCCAGGAAGAGGGCAGATGCACTGTTGCCTCCGGAAGGGTCTGTCTTTGAGGAGGCTGCATAGCTTACTTCCAGTTACCAATTTCTGCCCATTTGCCTGAAGCTGGACGTTTCTAGACAGATCATAACTGTTCCTGAGAGTGTGAACAAGTAATGTAGTCAAAACCAAAACTACTGTAAAAGCAGAGCTGATTGTGCTTGTTTATCTTGTATGCCCTAAATATCAACTAGAAGTGCCTTTTTTAGTGATGTGTATGTGTACTTTTTTGCAGTATTACGACATTTCAGCTAAGAGTAACTACAACTTTGAGAAGCCTTTCCTCTGGCTTGCTAGGAAGCTAATTGGAGACCCTAACTTGGAGTTTGTTGCCATGCCTGCGCTTGCACCACCTGAAGTTGTTATGGACCCAGCACTGGCAGCACAGTATGAGCAAGACCTACAGGTAAGTGAGAAAGGGCACAGAGGTCTGGTGGTTGCCCAATAACTGGTGATCAGACTCCTGGGGCACATAACTGAAGAACGGTTCTTAAGTGTAACTTCTGTATTCCAGATTGCTCAAACCACTGCACTGCCAGATGAAGATGATGACCTGTGAGGGATGAAGCTGGAGCCCAGCGTCAGAAGTCTAGTTTTATAGGCAACTGTCCTGTGATGTCAGTGGTGCAGCGTGTTTGCCACTTTATTATCTAGCTGAACAGAACATGTGCTTAATCTTTGGGATGCTGAAAGAGATGAATGGGCTTCGGAGTGAATGTGGCAGTTTAAAAAAAAAAAAAAGAAAAAAAAACACCAAAACAAACTTCATATTTTGGACCTGCATATTTAGCTGTTTTTTGGACTGCAATTACTTCCCCTTTTGAGTTTCAAATATAAGACTGCTGCAGTCACATCAGAGTGTTAAGTGGTAAAACTTGTTTCTGTCATTCCCATTCTTTTTTTTGTTTAGATAATAAAGTTGTATTTCAAGTATCTCTAAGCAAGTGAACTTCATGCATTGTTAGGAAAACTCTTCAAAGTGTCTTCTGTTCTTCAGTGGAGGCTAATACTTGGTTGTCTGCTGCATTTCTCATTCTCTGTTCTCCTTGCTTCTCATGTTATGCTATTCTTGCTAAGTCAGAGCTAACAATTAACTTTCCCTTGATTTCCTGAAGTATATTAAAGCACCCGAGGAAAGCTGAACTAACTACCAGGTAAAACTAAAGCAATGGGCACCTGACTTAAGTGTCTGGATCCACATTCCCATGGGAATGGTTTTGGTCTGCAGGGTGTCTGGCGAGGAGTGAGTAGTTCAGCTTGCATATGCTCCCATTAGATATGGTCTCTGAACTCTTCTGTTATGTTCTACAACATGCCTTCAAAGCTCTGTATTTTTAGTAGCCAGAAACAAATGACATCTAGGTCTTTAGGTGACTTAAAAGCTGTGTCTTTGCATGGAACATCATTCAGTAGAGCTATAGCTGATTAAACTCTAAGCATCTTAAAATTCACTAACTAGAAAACAGCTGTAATTTGGGCTGAAAAGCTCTTGTCTACAAAAGAGCATATTAAGTAAAGCCACATTTATATAAATACCTAGACTTTACTGTAACTGCACCAAGTTCTTAATTTGAAACTAGCTTATTACAGCACAAATGGTGGGAAATGTCAACTTTTAACACTTGCCTACCTGGTAGAGGTTAATCTTGGTCAATATTAGTACTGCTAGTAAACAAAACTAAGTTTAAGATGCCATTTTTCAGTAGTGTTTGAGTACATGAAGCCTTGAACTCTTCAGTTTTGTATTTTTGGTTTCTTAATAAAGTGGAGCATTTCATTTATTCCTTTTAACTTGCATGTTTGTGTAACTCCTACTTGAGTATTTAATTATTTGACTCTTCTGCTACATGGTAGCAGAAAGCGTGGCCTGCCATTCTGCAATACTGTTGTAAAGGAATAACTTTTAAGTTGGTGCAAGTTGGAGTTCTGTGGGGTTGTGGGGTTCTGTCTTTCTTTTAGCTAGTCAGAACCTGAATTGTGGTATGTGGGACCTGAAACTCCTTAATGAAAATCAGGAATGTTGTACAGTTTTTCTGTGAAAAGAAAACTCCCACTTAACATTACATTGAGCCTTCTTGCTGCACCATCCTCCTTTAACTTCATATTGTAGGTTCCTGCTGTAGTGTTTACTAATTTACCTGTGCATATCTTGGTTAATGCTGCTGGCTTGACTCTGCTGCTGCATCACTAGGTGTGATGGCTTTCTTGTCTTCAAGCTGTCTCACTGCTGAAAGTGCACTGCTCAAACACACTGAGTCTGGAAAGCTGAAAAGGCATATCACTACTGCAGAACTTAAGGAAAAAAGCCCTGAAGTTGCTGGTGTTTCATGGGGTACGTGGGGTCTCATCTTTACTGCTCACCTGCTGCACACAGGTACCAGCCTCAGTAGAAGTCCTACAAAACTGTTGGAAACACTTGAGATGCAAAGGCTGGTGTAGCTGCTGTGAGCTTTGCTTTGTGATCTTCAGGGGTACTTCCAAGTCCACAAAAACTCATCTCTGGAGTAGCAGGACTAGTGTTACTGCCTGTAATCTCCCTCTCCAAAGCAGGATGTGGTGCTGGGCCATTTACTGTCCCCAGTTCCATGGTAAAGCTGAGAGTTTTTAATTGTCCAGGCCCAGAAGGTTGTAGTGGAAGAGTTGCTGAACTAGCACATGTGCAAAACAGGTAAGGCAAAGGCATTAGTGCAGTAAAATGGCAGAGGAAATGTTTTGCTACTTCTCACTTGGATCTTGATAGAAAACCATTTTTGGTAACATTGGAGAGCACTTCTCTGCAGTGACTGGAGATCTGCGTGCCAGGCAGGCTGACATCTGCCCCAAGGCCTGCGAGCTCAAGTGCCACAAAATGCGTCTGTCCTTTTCCTTTAGGAGTGGTTCTGTTGTGTTACTGACAGCCTTAGTCTGAGCTGCTGGAGAAGACCTACCAGAGACAAACGGCTCAGCTGTTGCCCTCCTGAAGCAGAAGCACAGTCTGGTAGAAGCTAGCTGCTGTCCTGACCTGCAGTGGGAGTACCAGCAGTTAACTGGGCCTGCTGAAACGGGAATTGGCAGCAGAGTCTCATAAGTAACTGAAAAGCAAATCTGCCACTGCTTTGATTGGTTTTTCACATGGGTGCCTTAGTTTATAGGCTGGTTTTATGTGTGTTGGAGTTTTGCAGCAAGCTGAGAAGTTTGCCTTTAAGAATCTTCTTCCCAACAGGAGCATCGCGTGAAGCAGTTCTCCCTTACACGTGTCCTGTAACACTTCTGATTATCTCTGCAAGTGGCCAAAATCAGAAACAGATTCAGAGACTAATTCCTCTTTCTCATTGAGAGCTCGCTTGGCTGCCTGTAACAGTGTGAAGTTAAACCTGGTGGAATTCTCTGCTTGAGAGGAGGCTGGCTGTGCTAAGCTCGTAGATTTAGTGGGACATCCTGATGAACCGAACCACAGTGTCTTTATATACCTCATTACTGAAAAACTCCAGGAGTGTTGAAACAAAGCATATTTATAGCAAGGGATCAGCACACAGAGCCTAAATCTTGGAGTACAGATTTAAGTGTATGGGTCAAACACTTTTGAGTTGTGTGGGGTTCTAGCTCACAAAGTGAGCAGTGGTCTATGAGTGAATGACACCTCACCAAAATTCTGGTGTTCTCCAAGCTGCAGAACAGAAAGGGGCCCATGTCTGTGTTGGGGCACTAGTTTAGTCTAGGAATAGGTTGGCTGATATTATTTAGGATAGTCATAGTTGATGTCTGTCTTGCTGTGACCCTAGAATTCTGTGATTAAAGGAGATGGATTCCCACATTTCTGCTACTTGCTTGAGGGTGAAAAGCCATTTGAAAATAGCACACATTTTCCCAAATAATGTTATAAAGGTAATTTCATGTTTTATATAGCATTAACAAATCCACCCACTCTGAAGTCATGGCTTTTAATATATTTAATGCAAGCATTCAAAATTGAGTTTCATCAAAATAGTTCCAAGTTACTAGGAGCCAGTGAGCTTTCTTTACTCTCATTTGCCTATTTCTATTCTGACACTATTAATAAGGACTGAAAAGGGCAACTAGAATAAACTGTCAGTGTAACATAGGCAGAAACAGGAAGCTCATAAGGTAGTGTTCTGTAACATCTAGGAAGAAAGCTTTAACTAGTGTCCTTCCTGTTATGATTATTGGAGTGGCAAAGTCTCTGATTACACTCTGAAGCATCAGGATCTTCTGTGATGCAGCAATTTAAGAGCTTGCCTGAGCCAGTACTAATTCCTCTTGCTGCTACTTTATAACCTTTTCACTACTCAAAACCAGTGGTAACTTGCTGGTGACTTCCTTGAAAATAGTGCTGAAGTGAAGCAATGTGTGTTCTGCCCATACTGAAAACAGGAGAGTTAACTGTCCCATCAGGTGTTTTTAATGGATTACTCAAAGTTAACTTCCAGATCTCAGGTCTGGTTTGCAGGGCAGTTATTTAGGGAAGAAGCTCAAGCCGAAGAGGTTTGTCCCATTTATAAATAAAAAGGTGGGTCATAAGAAATCTGTCTGCATTTTTTTTGACAGCATTCATTGCCTTTGGATTCTGGATCTGGAATTTTTGTGCCGGGATGTTTTGTTTTACTTGAGTATGTAAACTGCTGTCTAGCTGTAACGCTTATTTCAAACTAAAGCAGGCGAGTCCAGTAGTTCAAAGATGATATCTAAAAGAGCTGTTTGAGACCCATCACCTGCGGGTCAGAAGTGCAGCCCTCGTTGCCGGGCACGGGAGGTTTAACCCGGCAGGAGGAGCAGATTTTGGCTGGGGCCTGGGGGTGCGGTACCCGCGGGAGCCGCGCGGTGGGGCGCGCTGCCC